GCCCCCCCTCGGCGCCTGCCGGTCTGACTTGCTGGTGGCACATGGGGCACGTGTCCTGCACGTAGAGCCACTTGCGGAGGCAGGTGGCATGGAAGAAGTGACTGCAGGGGGTGACGACGGCCACCTGCATGTCCTGCGGGCAGGAGAGGACGTCACCCGGCGGCAGGGGACTCCCGGGGCTGCCCAGAGCGGGGTCCCCCGGCGCTGCAGGGGTGCTGGCGAGGGGAGGGGGCTGACCTGGAAGCAGATGGCACAGACGTCGTTGTGGTCCCGCAGCTGCCCGCCCGTGGCCCGGGGCAGGGAGTTGATCTTCTTGGCGGCCTCGCGGCGCAGCAGAAAGCTCCTCCAGCCCGACTGAGCGCGCAGCCAGACGTTGAAGTAGGAGTGGATGATGATGACGGAGGCGCCCATCCAGCTCCACTCCCCGAAGAGGGACTCCCAGGTGCCGTAGCCCACCACGCAGACAGCCACCAGGAACTCCAGCACCCGGCTCACCGCGTTCACGCAGTAGATGATCTCATCCATCCGCTCCAGCGGCGTGTCCTGGAGCAGCTCCACCATGAAGAGGGCGTAGATGAAGAGGGTGCCCATCACCTGGTGGGACGGCGCCTCATTGACGGCGGCCGGATGGCAGAGCGCACCCCCCCAGCCAGTGTCCCCAGTCAGGGCTGGGTGAGGGTGACTGGGGCAGGGATGCCCACCCTGGGGGGCCCAGCGAGACCCCAGTCGGGGGGAGCGGGAGCTGCCGTACCTGCAGAGAGGTGAGCATGCAGCTGGAGACCAGGATCAGCAGCCAGAAATCCAGGTGGAAGAAGTGGGCGATCTTGTAGGCCATGAAGCAAGGGAAAACCAGCAAGAAGAGGCACATGCTGACGCCACGGAAATGCTTCCAGGGGCTCCTAGGGGAGGCACAGCTCAGCGGGGCCATGCCCACCCCGTGAGCGGCACCCACCCCCCCGGGACGCCCCGCTCCCGCCCCCTCCGCTGGCCCCGATTCTGCCCAAAAACGGGCAGCAAGGACCCGAGGCGGAGGGAGCACGTGGAGGGCACGAGACCCAGCCTGGCTCTTCCCCGCCGCGGGGAGGGGGAGGCCCCCCGCCGCTCCCCCCCGCACGCAGGGCTGCTCCCGGGGGGCCGGGTCCTGCTGCTCTTCCTTCCCCCGGTACCTGTTGCGGGAAGCCCCCAATGCCAGCACGATGGGATCAGCTATCTCAATCATGGACTGCAGCGTGGAGGTCACCACGATGAAGAGGATGATGCTGAGGAGGAAGGTCCGCTGGAGGATCTGCAGGTCGAGCAGCCCCGTCTGCAGCGCCAGCAGCAGCAGCGTCACACCCTCCGTCACCCCCCTGCCAGGAGCGGGGCATGAGGCCGGCAGCCGCAGGCACGTGCCAGGTGGCACCGCGCGTGCCGTGCCCCGGTCACCCCTCGGGGACGCGCCCCGGTCCCCGGATCCCTCGCGGCATCCCCATCCTCCCCACCCTGCGCTGGGCTCCTGCGGGCAAAGGGGGCTGGGAGGAGGGACGCCTGCCCGCGCCCCCGCCTGCCCGCGCCCCCGCCGCCGGCTCACCTGTGCATGACGTTGCCGTTCTGGAAGGCGCCGAAGCCCAGCAGGTAAAACTTGCAGAGGTTGAGGACGCCCAGAGCGAGGTAGGAGACGGTGAAGGTGAGGCCGACCAGGGAGTAGGGCGTGCTGCAGCACTCGGCCGCGCTGCAACGGAGCCCGCGGTGAGTGCGGGCGCCGGCAGGGGCCAGGCAGCACAAACCGGAGCCCCAGCCCCTCCTCATCCTCCTCCCGCAAGGCTGAGCTCCCCCAGCTCCTGCCTGCCCCGGTCCCTACCTGCTGAGGAGGAGGAAGAGGAGGCCCTGTTGGGCCAGGGGGCTGCCGGAGGAGGCGAGGAAGGAGGAGAGCCGGAGGGAGAAGAGCACCAGCCAGAAGACGAGGAAGAGGAGCGGGACGGCAAGCTGGCTCCAGAGGGACACCCCCAGCGCGACCAGCCGGTACACCTCCAGCGCCTGCGGGGACAGGGCGCTCAGCGGGGCTGCCCCCCATCCCGCCCCACACCC